CAAGAACGAATGGACGGACGAATCCTTCGACCCACTCTCCATCATTCACTCCGTGGATATGCTGCCATTTTTTTCGAAATGGAGTGTCTATGCAGTGCACAGTGCTGTAATACTTGAAAAGTGTGATCAACGTGTTCTACTGTATGAATTTGGGAGCTTGTTTGGAGGGTTTAAAAAAAAAGTGAGAGCCTGCTTATTGGCCCTTTAAAACAGTCTCGTGTAGTAATGGAAGGGGGATACATCTCATTTTTTTTCTTTTGCTTTTCTGTAGAGCGAAGGATGAATCTGTAGTTTTCTAATTCCTTTCTGATTTCTTCAGCCACAATATAAAGGAAACTTGGTATTAAGTTTTTGTAGTAATCATTAAGATCACTGCAATTATCACTCAATACTTGCATACTTTCAGCTTTCGTCTGTGAAAGAAATGTGTAGTAACATAAAACTCTTGCAAATTGTCACTTAGATCTCCAACTATCACTCTACTGAATACCGTATTTTTGCACGTATAACCCGCACCAAAAACCGAAAAATTTCAGTGGCAAAGTGGAGGTTCGAATAATACGCGGGGTTTTTCTTATAGTGCTGCTTCACAGCAATGCGTGTTGTGCTGTAAAGCCCCTTAACAGAGTAGCCAAGGCTACGGAGGCGGTTTCCGCAAATTCGTGTTGCTCCGCAAGTAGCACTGCAGCTTAGGGCTGATTTTGGTGTCGCTTGCTTGCATCGTTGAAGCGTTTAGAAAAACATTTGAGGAGAGACAATTGAATTGTTCAGTGTAAAATCTCACTGTCACACTACAAGTATATTTTTTGGACGTTCGCGGCCGCTCAGTGACCCTCCACATGTCCCTGCGTCACGGACGCCATGTTTACTTTTGGAAAGGGCTTGCCGAAAAGGTGGTGCTGTCTAAGAAAGTTCCATAATAAATAAAGCAGTATTTATTTGAGCAAGGCAAATGAGATGTTATAGTGCCTATAGAGATATTATCAGTAAATTAATGTACTACTTTTTAACGCGGTAGCAGGCATGCATTTCGGTTCTGTTGTTTCCAGGGTGCTGTTACAGTGTACTAGAAGGAGTAGTGCTGTCAAGTTGTCGCCGAGAGTGAGCGCTCTTTATTTCGCTGATACTACTAGTTCTCCACATCTCGACCCGTTGGCCAAGCCTAAGTCGATCTGTACTGTCACCATGAGTAGCGTACGGTGGCAGGCCTTCACGGCACAGCAAAAGCTTAAGATCATCGTCGTCACCGAGGAATTTGGAAATCGCGAAGCAGGAAGACGGCACGATGTGGACGAGTCCTGCGTGCGACTGTGCAGAAAGAAGAAAGAGAGCCTACAAGCCGTGCACCGCGACCAAAGGTCATTTTGTGGCCCCAAAACCGGTGCCTACCCTGAGCTGGAGGCGGAGCTAGTAAAGTTCATCGAAGATGTGAGAAGCAGGGGTCACACCGTATCGACCGAGATGGCCCAAGTGGAAGCGCGGCGACTTTCGAGGAAGCTAGACCTACCTCACGAGTTCTGTGCGAGACGCGGATGGCTGCACCACTTTATGAAGCGGCAAGGGCTCTCAATCAAACGGCGGACTACAATATGTCAACGCTTGCCGGCTTTTTATGAGGAGAAGCTGCTCAAGTACCAGGGATATGTAATTGGCCTGCAGAAGCAGCACAATTACATTTTCTCGCAAATCGACAATGCGGATGAAACTCCTGTTTATTTTGAAATGCCGTTGGACACAACGATTGAGAAGACAGGCAGCAGTTCGGTGAGCGTGCTGACCGGCGGGAACACGAAACTGCGCATCACAGTCTTGCTTTGTGCCCTTGCCAATGGCACGCAACTGCGACCGTACGTCATCTTCAAAAGGAAAACTCTACCAAAGGTTCATTCGCCTGCCGGTGTGGTGGTGCGCGCACACCAGAACGTGTCGATGAACAGTGACTTGTTCGTAGACTGGATCAAGATGTTATGGGAAAAGAGGACCGGTGCGATGCTCGCAAAGAGGTCCATGCTCATTCTTGACTCGTTCCGCGGCCACACAACTGAGGAAGTGAAGGACTGCCTTTCACGCAACGGCACCGACTTAGTTGTTATACCCGGTAAAATGACGTCAATGTTGCAGCCTCTAGATGTGTCGCTTAACAAGCCCTTCAAAGCGCATGTCAAGCGCTATTGTGCCGAGTGGATGGCCAAAGACTCCTGCGACTTGACGCCGACAGGACGAGTCCGAAGGCCTGATATTGCCCTATTCTGCAAGTGGATTGTCGAGGCATGGAAGGCCAGGCCATTCCAGGTGAGATGGTGCGAAAAAGTTTCAAGAAATGCTGCATCACAAACAACATGGATGGAACCGATGATGACTTTGTGCATAATAGTGAGGACTGCGGCTCAAGTGATAACTCAAGCGAGAGCAGCGACAGTGAGTAAATTGTGACTGGCCTTGCAGACAGCGTATTCTGCTTGCTAAATAAAGCTTTTTCTGTCTACATATGTGCTATGTTGTTTGAGCAGTAGCTTTTGTACAGCCTTTCCTGTATATCAAATGTGCGGGCAATACGCGAGGATTTTTTTTTTCTTTCTCGGTGAGTTGAAAGTGGGGGTGCGGATTATATGCAGGGGCGGGTTGTACGCGCAAAAATATGGTAGTTGTGATGCACTGGCACTCGTAACACAGACGTCTATGGTTGTACATGCCTTAAAACCAATACGCGTGGGAGCGGAAATGGAATTCTTACATCCATGTGACATAATTAAGCTCTTGAAGTCCACCACAGACCGGTCATTGCTAAATGTATTCATGTTTATATAACCACCAATGAAAAAAGGCAACGTATTGGTCTGAAAGATTGCAGTTATTGTAGAAGGAAGTCTAAGAAATCACGTTTAGAGCCAGCTCGCTGCCCATATATGGCTGAAAGCAGAAACAAAAATGTTTTTATAACTAAGCGCTCAATGTTTACATAGAGCCTTGTGTACTCGTTAGTGATGCTATAAATATAGCAGTTATTGGTATACATCACAACACCACCCTCTTTTCTACCTTTGCGATCTAAGTATATGCTCGTGTAATTGTTAAGGACGGGGATGTCATCACTTTTGTTTGGCCAAATATCCATTAAAGTATAGCTTCTAGTCTCAGCAGAAGAAACTTGAGGAAAAAATTTGTAAACCGTCAAGCTTGTTTTTATACTTCTAGCATTTAAGTGTAACATAGAGAAATCAGATTGATTAGATCTTAATGTGGTGCTAAATACTTGCAACGTGTAACAAAGATACTCGTGTACAGTAAGGAAAATAGCTTTTAAGTTAACCGATGCCAGCTTTAGTCATTTTTAGAAGGTCGTTAGAGCAAGACCTTTGCAGGATACTGTCATTTTCATTTTTTCTTGCTAGAACTTTTCCACCATCTGTCTACACGAGTTTTCTGTTGAGCTTTTTCTTTTTCGCTACGGTTGCTCCAAGCAACTGCTTGTTGTACCATGTAAAATGTTTATTTGAAGGGGCCCTGAAACACTTTTTCAAGTACTATAGAGTGGATTCTTTAAGAAGCTTATTGCCTCGCGAATTAAACGGCGCAAAAATTTCAAGAATCTGTCCAGTTAAAGCGGAGCGGCAAAGATATGTGGCACGCTGTAATCGCATTCTCTCCTCTCATTCAAACGAAAGCGCTGGAAGGTAAGCAAATAGGAATGACATGAGAAAGGGAAATACTGTAAGGCGCCTCGCGACCTTGAGTACTTTCTTCTCTTTTTTTCCTTCGAATACACGGATTTTTAGTGCACACACGTGGACAAATCGCGGCCTTTTGCAGCAATTTCTGTAACGACCAAGCGTGCCACGTCCAAATCAGCCAATGGCTGACAGATAGATAGCCTTCTACAAGTGATTTTTGAACTTCCATCCTCATTTGTCCAGAGGAAAGGAAAGCAACATTTAGTTGACTTTTATAACTGATTCTGAATTGCAGAGCACAAGCTGCGCTATGTTATTTGTCTCAAGCACTCTCGGGAACTGATCAGCAGGGTTTTCAGACCATGCTGAAGAAGTGTAGCAGGGCCCCTTTTAAGAAATTCCACTGCTATTCATGTCCATGCCAATCTCCTTCGTGCTAATTCTCATTTTCTTAGCCTTGGAAAGTATCGAGTGTCTGTTTCCATGCTGTGCGCAATGAAAAACAATGTTGCTTGCTCAGTTGCAGTTGGATTTTTATACAGACATCTACGCCCCTCTCATCAACTGCATCAAACAGTTCATAGATTTTTCAGATAGCTACCAGACAGTAGCATTCATCTGGAACACCTTCGATTTCGAGGTTGTTACTCCTTCAAAACTGTTCCAACTCCTGTAATTTCATATAATCATGCTTTTATATCTTAGTTTTCATTCTGAGAGACCAAGCTTTTTAATTTATTAATATGCACTACAAGCTAGCTGGTGAGCTGAGTGTGGTTACCTAGATACATCGGTATATAACCACATGCTGCCTTCATATTTTTTTTATCAAAACCACGTGTTATTTTGGTGCTTTTATTTGTGTTGATTTATCTGGTTTCTTGTGGTATTTGTCTTATTCCCTGCTGTCAGTGCACCTGTTATTTTACATAAGCCAGGTCTTTTGACACTAAATCATCAGTTACAGTACAATGCTGGTGTTTGCATCTTCTTGTGTGTGCATGTTTGTTGATGTCCTTTTGTCTCTGCTTCTTCGAAAATCTAATTTATTTCCTATTTCGTTTAGGTCCTGCATCCCGTCTATAAAATTATTGCAAGTGTCACTGCAGTGCTGAACTGATTTGTTAGGTCCTCCAGTTCAGCACGTGTGTACCACCTAAATTCTGCATATAAGACTGCAACATCCCTCTCCCTCTCTTTCCTTGCTGACATTGTAAAGTAAAACTGGTATCAATCCGAACACTTCACCCCAAAAGCACGAAACACAACTAGCATGTCTAAAGAAACAAGTCGTAAAGAAATCGAAAAAGCAAATAAGCACTCTCTCACCTGCAAAAAAGATGCAGTTTGTCACAAGTGTGTTGACTGTCCAACGCGCCGCCACCGAAGTCGACGCCTAGCCGCAAGAAGTCTGTATTCAACTTATCAGGAAGGAACAGCATTGTCCACAGCAGCCCTGTTCTCATGGTACAGTAGAGCGTTGGTGGCTGTAGCATATCCTTTCCGTGGTGCTGCCTACCTCGGCTGCTTCTTGGAGCTGCAGAACGATGCAGTTTGTCATAAGCACGTGCACAGTTCAATGCGCTGCCGCTGAACACTCATTCTAATAGACAAGTGTTGTGCTTAGCATGCGGAATCAAAATGCAGGTTTCGTCTAAGCGCTGTGGAAGTCGTCCTGATTTTAGCAACATGACTGCCAGACCATCTATAAGAGGGTTCTTCAGGAGGAGAGGTGGCAGAAGGGAAACGCCTTTCTGTCACCATGTCAGCTTTGTGATGGGACGACTATGTCGTAACACCAGTGGGAATGTCGGACCACACTTAAATTTCCCTCGTGCTTCAGCTCTGCTGCTACGATGTTCTCTCACTGTAGATTTGCCTTGGGCCATGCAAAGCAGCAGGCAGGAATCAAAGCCCTCCGCCTGCATTATAGGGTTTAGTTTCTGTTAAAAGCAGATGTTACCGAGATGTAAGAAAGGTGCCTATTTTGCGAATTTTCACTGTACACGGGCTTGTTCACAACTAAAAAACACAGCATTTACAAAGACTTCAAGGTCTGCGTCCTCCCTTCTTTCTGGCTACTAACAGTGGACTCGTAATTTTTGTCATCTTGCGTTATGTGTGCGGTTTCTCGCTCGCCTTTTTGTCTGCTTATTAGTACGTGCATCCCATTTTCTGCCACTGCAAATATTTGTGCCGCAGCTCAACCCACATAAGATTTGCGCCGTTTTATAAGCTACTCAGAAAATGAACAAACGATTTTGCAATGCATATAGAAGTGCATTCAACAATTGTAACCAGCAGACAGAGTTTAGCGCAGTCAACTTTATTTTATATGGCAAGGCTCATGTACTACAGCAAAAGCATCACTGCGGTAAAGGAACAATACGAATGACTCACAGTTTCTCAATGCACAACGGCGTGCAATAATAACGGACAGGCGCAACCCAAACAATACGTGATCACTAATCAGAAATAAAATGTGGCAAACTGCCATTTCCACACATCTCATCATAACAAACAACATGGTGTTTGGGTTCCCATTGATGCATTACACAGCACCACTAGAATGAACGCACCAGACTTTCCTTGCATGCTTTGCCACGCAACAATATAACAGCTTCAAAGCTTTCATTATTTGATTTCAACACTAATTCTTTGAGATTCAATTAAAACACTTGAACATCCCACTACACTTAGTGCCAGAGGCGATGTGCATGAACACAAGCTGCAAAATGATAAAGCGTGTGCCCCCCCCCGTGCTGGCAGCCAGCGTCAAGACAAGCGACACATACCTATCAGATAAATGCCTTAAGTGTGCAACAGAATTCCGAAGATTTCCTGTACGTGCACTTGCCATTTAATGACTGCCAATTAGTAAATTTCAAGCAATGTATGAACTATTAGGAGATCACGAAAGCTATGGGAACTGGGTCAAGCAGATCTAACAAAAAAAAGCCATGCCATCTGCATTCGACAAGCAAGGATCACAACCTACGACTAGTTGCTATCACAACGGCGTTACGCGCGACATTCCAAAACAAACCAGTTGCTGTTCTCGATGAATTTCAACACAGACGAAGAACAAGTATTTGGTACTAGCAACAGACATATCCGCAAATACTGCCACAAATGAGTGATGTTTCTGAAGCTGCTGTGACGATAGCATCCTTTGTTTAATTTATCACAGTGGGCAGAAGATAATTATGATGTCAAAGTAAGCAGCGCCGGCTAGTGACAAACAGGCTCAGCCCTAATATTAATGTTTCTATTTCAGAGCCACTATGCAAGCCACCAAACCTGTGAACGGCCGTTTAGAGAGGGTGTTGTGAAGCTTATGTTTTGTTTTGTTTTTCAGATTTCGCAGCACTTAGAATGACGGGCTATCAAATGTTGTAGAGCAAGAGTTGTGCTACAAGAACCATTTTTAAATAGCAAGAAAAGTGTCACCAATTAGATAGTGGCTTCAAACATCTGCACAAGGACATCACACTGAAAAAAAAAAAATGCTTGTACAAAAATACTGCACAACACATAGTAGAAGAGTGTGGTGTAGCATGTGCACATTTTCGAAAAGAGCAAGGTTGATAGCATGTGCAGCACCAATTTAACAGATGGGATACAGTTTAGCAACGCACTTTGAGATGCACCAAGTGGGGCAGAAAAATGGTGCTCTCTATCACTCGAGTGTGGAAATCTGCCTCCTGGTTCAATTATCGACATACGTAGCTTCATAGCAAAGCACTGAATACTGGGTCTGATAAAACTTCTTATAAGGTGATTATAGAACACACCATGGGATAAGAAATGCAGTAAATCTACAAAGACAAGCAATATCTGCTCATAGAATTATTCAAGCTAACAAGAAGCTATCGATAAGACATTTGGCAGATAATTCTTGTTATCATCTGGAAGAATAGAACAAGTAAAAAGGGGGTAAGGAAACTGCCCGGACTAATGGGGACAAACGCCGTACTTCCTGTGAGCACACGGAGAAGTGGCATAGCTCATCACAAGAGAGAGATAAGTGGCAGGTATTGTTTTTCTACACGGTATTCGGAGTAATAGAGAAGAACGAGAACTACAGGCTTCACAATCACACTTAAAGACCACCCCCACTTCTGTCGGGGGTCAGTGTCCTCGAGTACTCCACGTCAACAACCTGAGCCAACCGACTTCCAGCGATGGAGCCAGTCTTGATGGCATTCATCAACTCTAAGTACTCACTAAGCTCAATCTGGCCGTTCTTATTGAGATCCACCTCGTTCAGCATTTCACGCAGCTGCAGTTCCGACACAGACTCTCCCGCAGCCTTGAGGCTTCGACGCAGATCAACCACACTGATGTAGCCCTTGCGGTCCTTGTCTATGGCCTGGAATTTCTGGATGTACTGGTCCACCTCGGCTGTCGTGAAAGTCATGGGGAGTTTCTTCTGCGACTCCTTGTTCACGTCGCCACCCATCTCGATGTCGAGAAACTGTTTGGCCTTTTGCAATTCTTGCTCCTTCCTCTCTTTCGTCCACTTCAGCTCCTCTGCCATGATGTCAACGACCTTTGGCAGACACTCGTAGGCCGCTTGGACATTGAGGAAAGCAAGCCGCATGCGGCGACCAATCACGTCGACAGCCGTGCAAGCGTATTCCCGCACCGCATAGCGAACCTCTGCCTCAATGTATGGGAATTCCTCATGTAGTCTCCGTCCCAGGACTGGCCAGCGCTTTCCAGTGAGCGCAGCCAGCTTTGCGACAGACACTGCACGGTCACCGTAACTCCTGGATAGGTGTTTCGCAACTGCCGGTTCCAGCCCAAAGTCCTGGACAAGACGTATGTACAACGTCGGCGTCCAGGTGTGACCGCCCTCGAGCATGAAACCAAGGGTCTGAGATTTCTGCTGTGGTTTCAGGCCACAGGCCTTGATTGCTGCATCCATAGTGTGCTCAGCCATGACACGGTAGGTAGTCCACTTGCCTCCCGCAATAGTAACAAGATTCGAGTCACTAACGTAGATTATGTGATTTCGCGCAATTGCTTCCGTCTTTCCCGGCACACTCTTGTTGAGATCAACGACAAGCGGCCTGATGCCAGCCCATGCAGAGAGGACATCCCCTCGGCGCACAACCACATCTTGGTTCAAGTAGTGACGAACTTCGCTCAGGATAAACATAATATCATCTTCTGTAGGTGCTGGGTAGTGCGTGACTGCACAAGGCCTGTCGGTTGTTCCTGCGATGGTTGTGTTCTCCCAAGGGAGGAAAAAGATGACGCGTCCGTCACTCGTGTCGGGATCGAGTAGGCCCATATTGTCGGGACTGTAGTAGTCGGGCAAGATGATGTGGACGCCGGAGCTCGGCAGGCAGATGGGCTTGCAGTTGGGGTCGTCCATGCGGCGTATGGTGTCGGTAAAGGGTCCTGTCGCGTTCACCACGCACTTGGCATGCACGTTGAACTCCTCTCCCGTGAGCATGTCCCTTACCCTCGCCCCGCACACGACCTCCTTCCCGTTCTCGTCCTTTTTCTTGAGCAGCGCGACGGCGGTCGTGTGGTTGGCAACGCTGGCTCCGTTGCGCGCGGCCGTGAGCGCGATGCTCACAGTTCATGCGAGCGTCGTTGTGCTGACCGTCGTAGTAGACGAGGCCGCCGCAAAGGTGCTCCTTCTTCAGCATGGGAAACAGTTCGAGGCACCGTTTGGCCGAGAGGAAGTAGCTCTTCTTCAGGCACTGTTTCCCCGCCACCACATCGTACATCTTGATGCCTACCCAGTAGTAAGGTACCTGCCACCAACGGTAGATGGGCAGCATGATGGGCAGTGGGCTGGACAGGTGGGGCGCGATGGCGAGCAGATTCGCGCGTTCTTGGAGAGCTTCGCGCACCATCCTGTACTGCTCCATGTCAAGGTTCATGATGGCCTTCTGGAGGTAGCGCACGCCGCCGTGGATGAGTTTGGTGCTCCGACTGCTCGTGCCGGCCGAAAAATCGTACGTCTCAACGAGACCGGTCCGCAGACCTCGCGTTACGGAGTCCAAGGCGACTCCGGCTCCCGTCGCACCGCCTCCGATGACGAGAACATCGAATTCGGGCGTTTCGCGCAGGCTCTTGAGCTGCGCGGCGCGGCTCGGCAAAGGGAGGTGCGGCCGAGTTGGCGTGTCCTTCGGATCTGCAGCTTCGACGACTGCGGCGGCGGGTGTTCGCCGGAGTTCGTTGAAGTGTGTGAAGCCGTACGCTGCGACGATTGAGCCCCCGCCGATCCAGGCCACCGTTCGCAAACGTCTCGCTGCCATGTTTTCGAAGCGCAGCGAGCAACTGCAGCCTCAGGGTAGTGTGCGTCCTGCAGCTTCGCGCGAATCGAGAGGCCCAAAAAAAGGTCACCCTTTTGAAAATGGCGTCCTTTGACTGGCCCACGAACGAAGCCGCAGTTTCTTATTTGATGCTGAACGCTTTTCAAATTTAGAACTAAAATTTATTTTAAATACACAAAAGTGTTTTTCACTTTTGTGACTCACAACTAAAAAGAGTTATTACAATCACGTTTTATAAGAAACGGCGCGGCCATCGTGATTCTATGACCGCCATCTTTTGAAAGACCGTGAAGGTGCGCCTGAGCTAATTTCTCCGCCTTGATAACGGTCAGCTGTGGTACTAGCGTGAGAAAGTTATCGGCGCAGAAGTGAAATTGATCAAATGAGCATGAACCGAACCAGAATACTATTTCGAAGGAAGTAGAAAAGGAAATCTCAGGCTTACTGAAGGATTACTGCCATGTAAAAAAATTAAAACATAAAAAGGGATGAAATATTTAGGGCTGGGTGCTAAACATAAGGGTGTTGATTATTATCACAAGTGGGTCTAAGATATACTAGCTTCCCGAGTTCTTCAATACAACAACCTATTTTGCTAATACCGAAAGTGAATATTACGTCGGAACTTGCATTCTCTAATTAAATGTGTTTTCATTTCAGTACTCACATCGTTTAATTATTAACTATAATAATTATTGCTGGTGTATTACATGCAAATTCCATATATCTTTATGAGACACGCCAGAATATGCTTTAACCCCTTGGTATTCTTTAACGCGCACCTAAAACTAAGTGAACGTATATATTACTGCATGAATTTGCGCTCCATCAAAATGCGGCTGCTGTGGTTGAGAATCGCACCCGCGCCATTGAGCTTAAGGTAAAGCGCGACATCTTATGTGCTGATCGAAAGAGGTGTTCGAATGACTAATTATGTCTGTGATTTTTTGTTGGATCTCAGCACATTTTCTTTATTTATTTGGTGCCACATTTTTTCCGCTACAGTCCCTCATGTATAAAATAATAATGAGGATATTATTATTATTATTATTATTATTATTATTATTATTATTATTATTATTATTATTAATATTATTATTATTATTATTATTATTATTATTATTATTATTATTATTATTATTATATTATTATTATTATTATTATTATTATTATTATTATTATTATTATTATTATTATTATTATTATTATCCCCATAATAATCAAACTGGCTATTGAGAATGTGTTGTCTTTTGTTGTGAAAGCTTGATAAATGATTCCGAATCAGCAAGGTTTTCACAATGGCTACTCAACCATACCACAGAAGTGTCGGTGCCGGTGGTGGGGTAAGGGCACAAGTTCGCCCATGTGTCCCCCTCCTTCTTATAGAGCACAATTAAGTCCCTGGGTTCCTTCCACTCGAACCAATCGGCTTGGCAGTAAAAACAAATCCTTTAGACTATCGCTGGCCCGTAGACAGAATTTTTTTTTTCAGAGGGCGCGGGGGGGGGGGTGTTTTTCTGAAATGATCATTTCTCGCTCTGTACACCATGCGAAAAATTTTAGGGTTGGGGGGGGGGGGGGGGAGCAGTGTGTCATTTTTTGGCTACGCCACTGGGCTATCAAGGAACACCATTCATGCTACTGGAGCAGGCAACAGCACGTGGCGACAGCAATTACTCCGAAAGAAGCGATTGGAAATAATAAATAAATAGATAAAAGAGAACACCGTATTCCTCTCGTTCATAAAAACAAGAAAATACAAACCACACATCCGCTTTGCAAGTGTGACATCAGGTAAGTACACGACATTCGTACTACAGCATGTTCAGTAGTATGAAGTGTGCGTTGGTTTTATACGCGAAGCATTTCTTTCCGCGCAGCGCTGCAGGTACTTTTGACGTCTATATATCTACATATCCATACCTATCCATCCAGCCGCCTATACGTCTGGGTGCGAGTGTAAGATGGTTTGACGAATTTAATTATTTATTTATGTATTTATTTATTTGTCATACTGTTAACCCTTAGTTGAGGGTCGTTACAGGGAGGGTGAAGAATTGAGTTGCACAAAATTTATATTTGAAAAAAAAACTGTAAGATGAACTCTGTGACATATAGCTTAATATGAGAAACACAGTTACATGCTTTTTTCACTCAATACATTTACAACATGATATCTATGACCGATGAAACATTTGTAAGTAAACACATACATGAACAGCGATAACTATACATTTTCAACAAAATGCCTATCAAGAGCAACCTCAAAATCACTCAAAGTTCTTTTTTGCACCATATCATTCGGCAATTCATTCCAAATGTTAATAGCATCGGGAAAGAAGGAAAATTGGAAGAAGGAAAATCGGGAAATCGGAAGAATATGACTGGCGACGCCGTCGGGCACGCTGTCGAACCCTTCCCGCGGGGCACGTGCGCCACATATATCCGTAAACCACCAGTGGATATGTGCCACATGTATGCGGGTTTGTGCCAAGTGCGATTGACCGTTTATGTCAACCTAAAAACGGCGCGAGAACAGACATTAGTAATTTAACGTGAGAGCAAAAAGCTGACATCAGCAGCGTAAATACGGCAGCTTAAAATAATATATATCAGAGTCCCAGCAGGAATCAAACCCGAGTATTCTACCACAGAGCCACGCCAGGCTTTGATACTGCTTTGGAAGAAGACACCAATTAGGCGTACACTGTTGGTGAAACGCCCATTGTGGTTACAATGCCGCAATCCGATTTCGTAAAAATTACATGTGTACGTTATAGCAGTCACGTTGAGTTAACGTCAATAGCAGTTAAGTGCCACCCACTGAAATTGAGTGGTGTATAACAGTGTCTAGGGCTATCCTTGCGAGCATCAGTGCAACATCAGCTAGCTTACCGCTTCTGGTGTAACAACCATGTTGCTGTTGGTATCGTTACGCCAGTGTAAACAACTGTTTTTGCAAAACATATGTATATGCAATTGTTCAACACGTGTCTCTGCGTACGACATTGTTACGTATCTTTAGCGTCATTTCGTAACGTTTCATTAACTACGACACAGTAACCCTCCTTCCACGCGCTTCGCATAACGCCGATTTCCAAGTGGGATCTGGCAAATTTTTTATTGGTATGTCTAAAGGATATTTTACCTTCGAAACATATGCTTGATGCGTGAGATTGTTGTGATTTTCATAACATATATCCTTGCGTGTTCCGAAATATGTGTCGTTTGAATTTAGCTCTTGTGCTCTTACGTCTTTTTTGTATCCCTATCTTTTGCGCTATACCCATTCGAAGTTAAGAGCAGGACTTTAACCAAAGCAAAACTTGCGTGCAACATCGTTAGAAATACAAACCCTCTTTTGGAAGAAAAAATCCATGTGACTGGACTTCAAGGCTGTGCAAGCGCTATTATATTTTCTGCGTTTAGCTGGTCTCTCAGAACGGCTCTGCATTTAAACGTACTGTGCGTGTGTGTATTTTGTTCGTTTTATTTATCGTATACTTCTCTATTTTCTCTCTCCGACCTTTATAACCTCACCTTCATGCAGAGTAGCAAATCGGTTACTACTACAAGATTTACCTCCCTGCTTTTCTGTTTCATATATTTCTCTCTGTCTGTGTGATGCCCCATGGCAAAAACAAGCTCCGCACGTTCCAGCTTATTTCTCCAATTACGCTCATCATCACAAAGAAGCGCATAAAAAGAGGAGGCAGAAAGAAACATACACACAAGAAAAAGCACTCAATTACCAATAAATATGGTTATTTGTGCAGGCACGACTAAATACGCCTCCACACATGCCAGGAACAGGAGTGGGATTAAAAAGGCGCATTCTCCCTACAATCGCCTCAATTCAATGGCGCAGATATCCAAATTCCTTGTCTGCTAATGCTATCGATGGTGCACTGACACATGCTGAACCCACTTTATGCATCTTCGTAGGCCTCGTAGATTTCTCGAGCTCGAGAATCTCGATAGCTGCGAACAATGCGCGCCTGCTAGGAAAAAGGGTTTGCACCCGCACGTTGCGCAATAAATAGCCAAATTGCCACCTGTCTTCATTCAAGATTGGTGGCATGTTCTCGTCACCGATCATCTGACACACCGACCCAGTTCGACCAATGTACAAGCTTCCACATGACGTCAGGATCTCGTAGACCTGCTCCTGTTTTGCAGGGGACGAAGGGACTTGCACGCTTCTTCTGGCACACGACTTTTCCAGAACTTGCCGCATTCACTCGCTTGCAGAGGTATCAGTTTAACGGGAGCCGAGTAGATCCTTCTTACTCTCGCTCGTGCCACCACTTTTTTCATTCTGTGGGAGACGCCGCAAGGATAGGAGATGACGGAATGTTTCGTCTTGTCAACTTGCGGTGGGGTTTCTTTTTTTCTTTTTTTTCTTTTTTTGAAGACCTGTGTTCGCCTATGACTTCTGCCAGAACCAGTAGAAGGTGAGGCTGCAAACACCTTTTCCAGCAGTTCGCAGCTATCGAGATTCCAGAGCTCGAAAAATGTACGTGGTCTATACGAGATGCATGGGGTCAGCATCCTCGAAGGCACCCTCGATTGCATTAGCAGTCAAGGAGATTAGCTATCTGCATCATAAAGTAGGTGTTTTGAATGGGTAGGACGCATGTGTATTTTCGATTCCCTTCTGGAATGTGTAGAGGCGTGTTTATTGATGCCTGCGCAAACAAACAAATTTTTCGGTAGTTCAGCGCTATTTCCTGTGTGTTTCTTTATATATCTCCTCGTTTTCTTTTTGTGCTGTTTCGCGAAGCTGAAGCCGTATACCAGCAAGCTCTAACCAACAACACATTTAAGGTTAACCATCTGTGCGGAACGTTTGGGTGGCGATTTCTCTTTATCATATCGTTCCGTTATACAGCGGGCAGCGACAAATAGCAAACATGCAGAACGAAGAAGCGTCCAGACGCGCACATCGGCATCTGCTCCACTGGCCTCGAAACCAGTTCCATTCAAGGCCAGCGCGGTGGTCGATTTCTGGCTGGAGACATTACCTTTCGATGCCACGCAGTATACCGGAACTGTACTTTCCACAAAATCCTCCTC